GTTTTATTTCCACAGCAGCAGCTCACAGCACTTCCAGTAAAGACCGTACAGACGAATACAGAGAAAACCAGCACATCCAGGCTTTCCTTTGGACTCCCTTCAGTAGAACCTGGCAACAGTGGAAAAGAGAAAGTCGGGCAGAACCAGGCTCAGGGAGGTGGGACATCTGCCTCCACTGGTCGGGGTGAGAGCGTCAGTGGGAGAGAGAACCAGAGCAAAGAGAAACAGGAAGTAGAGATCAGAGACATGCAGCTCTGCAGCCAGAAGAACCTGCAGAGAAGACAAAGCACAGGACCAGGAGGACACACTGGTTTCATGTATGAACGTATGGAGGCAGCGAGGCCACCTGCCAACAAATGAGAGGATTTCTGCCAAACTTCTGTCCTTCCAGAACATTTCAGGGCTAATTCTAAGCTTTGAAGACACACAGCTGCTTCTTTGCCACCTTGTTCTCGTCGTCCCTCCTCTGAGGAAGCTCCCCTCGCTGAGGCCGGATGAACCTGAAGGGAAGACGGCTGTGTTTGTGTGTACAGGGCGAGGACGGTGGGCCGCCGCTGCCGGGCCTCAGCCCAAGTCCTCAGCTTTGATGCCGAAGACTTTGAAGCCGAGAGTCGAGCATCAAAGAAAGCGGGACTGGGCTTCAACCCCAGCCCTCCATCCTCTCCGGGGGGCGGCGGGGAGGAAACGGCGGCGCTGAAGGTGCGACCTGGAGAGGACTTCAGGTGCTGCAGAGCGTCGGGGAAGGAAGGAGATGAAGAAGTGGATACAAGACCTGAGAGCTGAGCTGGATCTCAGACCCCCCTGTGAGGCGAGATGAGTCACTTTCTGGCTCCCGGTACTCACAAACAACACACACACACACACACACACACACACACACACACACACACACACACACACACACACACAGAGACACACACTGAGATGCGGTATCAGGTCCTCACAGATGTACCCACACTTCAGACTTCCGACTAAACTAATGCGGCTGAAAGCTTTTCCTAAAATCTGATTGGATGAAGTCACAATGGGGGTCTACGCTCCAAACTTTGGAGCACTGTTTCCATGGCAATAGGTTCTGACATCTCCTGTCGTGACGAGATGTTTTTTGGTTGCGAGGACCAGGGGAGGTTCTTTTTTTTTTTTCTTTTGCACAGCAGGATTTGAACGCTGACAGTGACGGCAGGCTGTCAGAAGGTCCTGATCACACAAAGACAGAACGTCCTCCAGTGAAGACACACCACCCCGACAAACAACGAACCCGGGTGACCTTTGCGAGAGCAGACGGGGAGATGCACCGAGCCTTTTAACCGCCCACAAAAAAAACCCACTGACGTGTTCTGATTTCCAGTGATGCATCCTGGAATATTTCTTCTTAGATAATTGGGCTGCAAAGTGTTGACGAGGCAAATTAGGCCACCATCTGCATCCTCATTAGGGACGAGGGCCATTATGCCAAAATATTTTGTTTGTTTATGTGTTTAAATGCTGCAGATTTGTGCCGGATCCTGAAAACCAGCTCAGGATCTGCTGCTGGGCGACGGACGTAGCATCCCTGTCAGCGTGTCGTCATCGCTGTGGCGGCAGCAGTCCAGCGTTTGTGTCTCCGGGAGGAGGGGGAGGAGAGAAAATGTGCGAGTCTGTTTTGTTTTCTAAATCCCAGCAGGTTCATTTGGGTTCAGGGTCCCAGCAGGGGTGCGAGACACAAGAGGGTGAGCATGTGCCAAAGCTCGCCGCTGCTGTCTTCCAACGAACCGAGGAACTTAGGCGACCTCGGACGAAGCCAATTTGGAGAGTGTTGGGGCGACTGCGAGCAAACAAGAAACAGCTAAAGGGGAAAAACAAGCGCTGCCCTTCAGGAAATATGACTTCTAACGATTCAAACCAGGATGTAACAGCAGCAGTTCAAACAAAAGCACACAGTGAGGACTGGAGGCCTTGCAGCCATCGGCCCTGTGTCGGCGTGCACATGTTGTAAACTTTCCTGATTAAAGAAAGAAATCTAGA